CGCCACAGTCGACATCCGCTTCCGGGTGAGGGAGTTAAACGTCACTCCGCTCTCCCACCACGGCGGACAGCAAAGGAGGGCAGACATGTCGGGACATGAGAACGGCAGAAAAGGCGGCAAAGCCCGCGCAAAGGCAGCAGGTTAGCCTCAATTCCCACAAGTCTTGCAAGTCTGTTGTCTCAGTACACCCTTATGGCTTTGTGGTGTATGTAGTGACACCATATAAAACAATGTGGTATTATGGTGCCATAACTTGCACCATAAAACTAACAGAGCACCTTCTTTCATAGCCCACACGGTAGAGCATCACACTTATTTTGAAGGTTGTCGGTATGAATGCCAGCAGTAGAACAGGTGAATTTTCGTCCACTTTCGATCCTTTGTCTTTCAATTCAGGTCATAGTGATTACACCCCAGTTAAAAGAACCTGTTGTCCCCTGTGCTTTCCTCTGCTTAATTATGTATTGGTTTTAGTGGTTGTGTATAACAAAGAAATGGGCCCGTAGAGCAATTCTGCCTTTTTGCAGCTAAAGTTGTTATGAGATCAGAACACAGGTGCTGCGCCGTAGTCAGAACATGTGCGGCGCTGTAGTTGTCCGCCGCCGCTGCTGCCTGTAACCAGTATCGCAAGGAATAAGAAGAAAAAAAACTCTGTAAATAAAAAACACCAAGTACACAATGGTATTTGAACACAGGTCCGCTGCGTGCCAGCCCAGTATTCTACCACTGAGCCTCACCAGTGCTTGGAACTTGTTTCTAAACTGGCCTCAGGCAGGCTTAATGTCGGTAAAGGAATCACATTTTTTATTTTTGTCATTCCTTTGTCGTTACTACTTGCTCTAAACCGTTTTTTTTTATTGATTGTATTTGCTTGTCGCATTTCCACCTGCTATATTTTGCGTGTTTTTTATATTCTATTGTTTCCAATGTTTCACATGCTGTGAATACTGTTCAAGACAGATTCCATAATTTTTTTTCCTTTTTTTCTCAAGGTGTATTCACAGTTCGTTACTTTGTCTCTTTTGTGCAACATGTACCTTTTGTACAAGCCACTCCTGCTTATGGCTTGCAGAAGAAGCGTGCAGCAATAAATAAATTATTTTCCTGATAATTTGTCATTTTCTTGATGAGTTGAAGATTCCATTTTTTTATGGCAAACTGATGGAGAGTTAACTTTGTGGTAGTATCTTGAAAGGACCAGTGACATTTTTTTTTTGCTGATATCGCTTGCAAGGCAATAACTGCGACATTGGCAACATCTTTCCAATTCAGATTATTAGTGAAAGGAATGGGAGAGCATTCCTGGCTCTGTGATCTGGTGGCTTATTTCGGACAGCATGGCGAGCTCACTTTTCATTTCTGCCACAGAAAGCCACAGCTATGTCTTGGCTGCCGCTCTTTCGTAGGCCGGCTTATTAAAATTGCATTAGCAGAACATGAATGTTATTGGACGTCTTGACCACTGATGCCCACATTAATTTATTAGAGCAAAAGTGCTGGGGCCCTAAAGCGGCTTGCTTACGTAAGCTCTTGCGCTTTGTTTCTTCCATAAGTGCTGCTGCGAGTACAAAGGAACACAAAAGTGTGCATATGTAATCTGTTTAGGGCCCCCAGTACTAAAACTCTGTTGCCTTGGTCTGTTTTTGTGCCGGCAATGCGTAGACCGTGTGGTGATTTCTGGATGTCCTGACTAGGCCCCGCTTAAAATTTGTCTGTGCAGTGCCAGAGTATGGCAAATGACTCTTGAAATTCTCCTTCCCAGCTGGTATAGTGTATTTTCGTTTCCGGAAGAAAGTATTAATTGCAATTGAAGAGAACCATGTAATGTATCACTTCTTGACTATCTGAGCATATAGAGTCGTAGGTTGGCAAACTCACTCGAGTTTACTTACGTGGACCCTTATAACAATTGTTCGGATTTAATGCCCGAAAACCATGATATGATTATTTAAGACACTGTAGTGAAGGGCTCTGGAAATTTCAACTGCCTGGGCTTCTTTAATGTGCACCTAAGTGCACATTAATGTGACCAGCCTCAATCATTTTAAGAAGTTGTCCAAAGGACTGGAACCAGCCACGCCTTGGGGAGAAGTCGGGATCAGAGGAGGCAGAGCTGATACCGTATTCACTCGCATAATCCTCGCACTTTTTCTTGCGGAAAACGGATGCAAAGTTGGGGGTGCGAGACTTACGCGGGGAAAACTTTTCACGAAAACGTATAGAGCGAACAAAAAACGAAGTGGTTGCAAATCGGGATTCTCACACCAGCAACTAACAGCAAGCTTTGAGAAGCACTAATTAAAATTTACCTAAACAATAAAAGCAGAGGTTCAACACAAGGCAAGATTTATTTTCAGACACAAAAAGTGCAATCAAATAGTCGAGAATTAAAATACCATAGGCAAAGCTTGCGGGCGTAGCGGTAGCGTTGGTCGCTCAACAAGAGCTCTCAAAAGATAAGTGTAGGTTGTCAGTATTGGGCTGATGGCTATTTAACAGAATCGTTCAGTTTCCTTCTGAAGAAATAAAGTTTACCATCAATCCCAGTCTTAAGCACACGGCAGGCCCAACGCGTCTTGGTGGCTTTCAGCTGCCGTCACCAGTAGCGAACACAAAACTCGTTGACTCCAAAGGGCCTACCGGCGACTCTGTTGCCGTTGTTTAGTGCATGATCAATCACTTTCAACTTGAAAGCAGCCGTGTAGCTTCAGTATCGCCCCATAACGTCACAAGATTACCGACACAACATACAAAACACGCCGCAACGTGCACTTGCAGCTTTGGCTTGGCTTAGATTGAATTTTCTTGCAATAATAGTACGCTTGATGCATTAGAGATGGCGCCAGATGACGTGCACTGTCATCATCAACGGCTGGAACGAGCAGACGACATTATTGCGGCAATTTTTTAGGGTGAAATAACTTGAGAGAAAAAAGTCGTATTTTCGTTGGGCGATGTGGGGGGGTGCGAGAATTATGCGAGTGCAAGGATTACGCAAGTAAATACGGTAACAAGAACGTTTATTTACCTGACTAATGGTAGGGGTGTTGTGGGGTGCGTTTCTTTATAACTTCTTGATTTTCCCTAGATTCTTGTTGAAGAAAGCCAGAGTCCAGCGTAGTACAATTAAGATGTCGTCCTCATCTCCCCTTTCTGGGGGAAGGTCAAGCACTGCCTCATTTCTGACCAAGGAAAGAGGGAAGTGGTGTGCCCTGCTTGTTCTGCTGTGTTGAAGAGAACACAAGACACAACAGAGCAGTAGAAAGGCTGCGGAAGTGCAAATTACGGAGAACTGGCCGTGCAGTCAGGTGCATTGTTTCCTTTACCCCATAGCAGTGCCAGTGAATCTGATGGCTAGCTCTCTAGCTCTCAACTGGGTCAGGATGCGATAAAGGCACCACAGAGTGTGGGGAAGGTGCCTGATGAGGGATCTGATGTGCTCGGCTAATTGTCCATTACATCTCGCAGAAGGTTGGACCAAAGCAGTGCACAGGTGATCACTTCTTTCGAGCAGCCTTGATTGGAAATAGCTCACTTCGAGGCCTTATAAAGCTTTCAAACTCAGCCAGATTGTTTGACGAGGGGTGCCGACAGCTTTGAAGGTTCAGAACACAACTGTTGCGTTGCCGCTTCAGGTGCACTTAGTTGAATATTGACTTGAAGGAGAGCCAGGCAGACGCTGCCAAATAATTTCGAGAGTCCAAGCAGTGCCGATTCATGAAGGCCGATCATAACTTGAATCGTGCCACGAGTGTGAGCGAGTTCAGTTGAAAAAAATTTTAGTGAGCCTCAGTTTGAGGGAGACCATTTGAGGAAAATTTTGGCGAGTCGGAGTTCGAGTAATCCTTGAGCGGAAAATGTAAGTGTGAGTGAGCTTTGTTTAGTTTTTGCAAACAGATCGTCTTATCTACTCAACTTCACTATTGTTATCATCCCTATTTTGGCTCGTTTGGGATCATGTCTAATCGGACAATCACTGTACCAGCATTCATACACCAGATCAATTTTGATCTCGGGCTTAAGTAAAGGGGGGGGGGCTTAATCTCTTATTTCCTGCAAGCTCTTTCGCGAGAAGTTCTTGAATGCACCATCTCATGTTAGTCGTCTCATTCAATAAAAATGTCCATGAACTGATGATAAATATTTGAAATTATGAGATCAAAGGTGCCATGCAGGAGAGCTATATTGCTCACATTGTCCCCGCAGTGGTCTGATGGTTATGACACTTGACTGCTCACTGAAAGGTCACGGGATGGAATCCCGGCTGCGGCAGCTGCATTTTCTATGGAGGCGAAAATGTTTGACGCCCGTGGGATTTAGGTGCACATTAAAGAACCTTGGGTGGTCAAAATTTTCTGAGCTCTCCACTACGGCGTCTCTCATAATGGTATTGTGGTTTTGGGACAGTAAACCCCAAATATTATTTTGTCCACGTTCTGTGATGCAACAGAACGAAACCTTGAGTGAGTGTTCAAGAAGTACCAAATATGGTGCCACCCAGGATTGGTCCAACTCTCAGACCTGAGAATAGGAACTGGAAAGGCAATGCTGGCAATCATTTTGGCAAAGAATGGGCACAGAATGGATGGAGACACTGTTTTGTACATTAGAAAGTACACAGAACTGTCCGCCACATGACTTGGATTGGGTCGAAACTTTTTGGTTACCTCGCCAAAATTGCTATTTTTCATATGCCTCGGAAAAATAGTGCTTCAGTTTTAAAGGTACTCCGGCATGTATTGCAACATACCAAATTTTGTGCAATGAAGTGCTCTTTCCAAAAAATATGTGTTGTAGAGCAACAAAAATATTTTGTAAGGAATAAAAATGTGAAAGGTGCGTAAACTTTGGTTGCCAGCTTGTAAGCAGTGTAATAAGAAACACTATGTATTCAAAAATATTCAAAACAAGGAAAATACAAAGTATGCAATTTGAAAACAAATGACTTATGAACAGTATAAAAATAACTAATGTTGTTCAAAATGTTTCTATTTTCATAGATAAAGAAAACTGGAACCGAGGTGTTTGTGCCATGCAGTGAAGCATTGTTGGTTTTTCACAAGGAGGTTAAAGTAATATTTGCAGGAGTGGAGGAGGTGCCCCCAGGTGAAGCCGCGTGCTGCCATCTTGCCATAGGCAGAAAGTGCGCCTTCCTCAACTCTAGCCGTTTCCGCCGCACAGATGTTCGAAATGTTTTTCAGCGTTGTGGCAATCCAGACGTTGTAGTGGACACATTGTGCCTTTTTTAAAACTACATAAATCAAGCGAGAGGGTGCTTTGGGATAATGTTTCAGTTGCAAAGTCCAGTGGTACACATCCTTGGGCTTGTTCTTACCACTGGAGTGGAGCACAAATAGGAAAAGTACACAAATTATTCGTTGCTATTAAATAGGCAATTGACTCCTAATACTTTGTTATTGGTTCCTTGTGTTAATTACAAAGGTACCTTGCTACTACAAGGGTGGCTAAAATCGTTTGGGCAATGCACAGGGACCTGTCTTTTTTTGCATTCGTGCCTTTTATTTTTTGTCGTGCAGCCAGTAAAATCGGTATGTTTGAACTGTGCTGTACTCGTTCCAGCTGCAAAGAAAGTGGCCAAGACCGAGGCCCAGGGTACTCCTGCAGTATGTGTTCAACTTGAAGTTGTTGAAAACGTGACACTACACTTGCATCACCTACATGGCAGCTCTTACAAAGAAACAAACAAAAGCTTCATGTTTTCTAAGGGGAGATAAAACAGCTTTATAACAAAATTCTACCACATATAAATTGTAGAGCGAAGGAAAAAAAGCGAGGCTTTATCCTCAAAGTATGATTAAGGAGATAAAAAATCAAAAGCTCATGCCTGAAGAGGGGGGGGGGGGGTGTTTGTTCACTGCAACCTTTCCTCATACATACAGCAACTCCTTCACAGTACACAAAAACGCCAGAAAGTCGCGTATCAGTCAGAGATTCGGGCGTTTACCTTAACCCTGCCTTTCCATTCTCCATCAACTTCTGCGTATGTACACTCGAAGTTAAATAATCGAGCACTGTGAGCAGAGCGCATTATGCAAGAACGTCCCACAGTTTTATGAAAAGACAATTAGTAGCAAAAAGCTTTCCCAATGCTGCACAGAGACTCCGTACTGTACGCTGATTGTTGATGACAAATGAGGTAACATGTTGAGATTGTGGAGGACTACCATAGTTAGATATGAGGACTTTGGGTCTGGAATGCATGATGATAGACTGCATGTGCATATGCTCATTGACCTAATGGCTTTGAATGTCACTAGTGTTCATAAATTGATTCATTGGCGAGAGCAGAGAGAGCCTAATTAACCAAATTGTATCGAAAAACTGCAGATATAACTTGATCAAGTAAAAATTGGGCTATCTGGTCTTGCATGATAAGTACGAACAGTGTGATATTCTACATGGACACAAAAGAGGAGACACAGACAAGCGCTGTATGTGCCTTCTCTTGTATCCCTGTGTAGAATATCGCGCTGATCGTACTTCATCATGCAGATAGAAGCTGTAGAAATGTAGTTAACTGCAAGATAAATGGCCTTAGTTAAAGCACATCTATGCAAAACAAAACAAAACTACTGCTTCTGAACTTATTGAGCTTTTCTTAAGAAAAGTAATGGCTTTCGATGAAAGCCGTGGTGGGCATATCTGTCTCGATGAGCGTGTCCTTATGTGTGATGATAGGGATGTCCACATTCATATTCCACGCGAAGAAAGGGGCCGAACTCTTGATATGCATAAGATTCTGTCACATTAATAAAATAATTGGGAAAATGAGTGCCGAGAATGTGGGGTCTGCTCTCAAGAGTATGCTTCCTTCTAAAAGCCAGCAATACTCTTAGTCGGTGTGCATGCTTGCAAGGAAAATGCCAAAAAAATAGATTAAAGTATACTGTAAGCCAGTCTGATATTTGACTTGTTATTCTAGACAACTTCTCCCCCAACAACTCCCCGCAAGGGCGCCTGCGCAAGTAGGCGTTTGGTGTGTAGCGACACCACGGACCCGAGCTAACGGGGGAGTTTTGGCTCCATCCCACGCCTAGCCGTGCGTGGCTTTGCCGTGTCCGGGGAAAAGGGAACCTTGGGGGTTGAGCCAATGCTGGGTGATTGGACCTTTAAGGCCCCCCAGTGGCGGCAACACACCCCTTTGGCCCCGGCTTCACGTAGACGGCACCCCTGGGCTGACCCACCCAGGAGAAACCGGCAGTCGCCTTTTCCTGTCTCTCCCTCTGTTCATCTTCGTTTTTCTCTCTTACTTTCACTCTTTCCTGTTCTCTCCTCTCTTCAATTTACTTCTGTTTTTTCTGGCCGAAAGGGTTAACCTTGTGTGGCTATCCAAACTAGGGTAAACCATATTGGGTTATAGTAACTGTGTACTGCTGGCGTTGCGCAGACATGCCCACATGCTCTGCCACGTCCCCTTGTTGGACTCCGAGGTGGGTGGTAGGCGCCGTTATTTAAAAATCCACATTTTCCCATGGGATCCTCGACCCCTTCTCTAACTGATCGTGCCTCGAAAAGGGTACGCACCGACGCAACTTCACTACTCTAACCCAAAAACAGAGAAACTTTCCCAAAATACCATGTCCTCCACTGCGAACAATTGTCTACAAAAGTTAGAGCAATCTCACCCTTCCTTGTGGCCAAGTGCTTGAGAAAGACCATTGGAACCGGTTATAAGGCCACGAAGATGGTAAGTGGAGATCTACTTCTCGAATTAAAAGACAAGGAACAGTACAATAAACTCTCGCACCATGTAGCCTTTGGTAACATCCCCGTCTCTGTGAGCGCACACCGTACCATGAATACAGTGAAGGGCGTGGTATCGGACGAAGATTTGATGACACTGAGTGAAGAAGAGCTCCTTGATGGATGGAAGGACCAAAGTGTAATACATGTCCAGCGCATCAAAATCAGACGTAACAACAACGAAATAGCAACAAAGCACTTGATACTCACCTTCAACAACTATTTTACCTGAGACTCTCAAAACTGGCTATATAAAACTCCATGTCCGACCCTTCATTCCGAACCCGAGGCGTTGTTTCAAATGCCAGCGATTTGGTCATGCATTCCAGAGCTGCCGAGGACAGCTGATGTGTGCCAAGTGTGGCACAACCGGCCACAATGCTGATGAATGTAGTCATGACAAGGTCCTCTGTGCTAACTGCGAAGGTAGTCACCCCGCATACTCCAGAGCGTGCCCAGCCTGGAAAAGAGAGAAAGAAATAATAACTCTAAAAGTTAAGAAAAATATCACATTCAGGGAAGCAAGACAACGGATCTCATTATCACTGGCCTTCAAAACACCTTTTGCCAAAGTGGTGCAACGAGGGGCGGCACTACTAAGGCCCTTGGCAGCTGCCCGGACCGCGCCTAGCGTGCCGAGGCCAATGCCACAAGCCCCTACGGCGCGAGCAGCCAGCGCTGCCCTGCCCACATTCAGCCTGTCTACACCAGTGACCTCTACAAGCTCTGGCAGCAGCCAGGGCAATCACGAGGCCTAGGGGGCTTCATCAACCCCCAGCTCGGTGGGGACAAAGACTTCATCGATCGAGGCGAAGTCTAAGCGACGCACAGATCGCTCTATAGAGCGGGCGTCTAGTGCCTCGCAAAAGGGTATGGATACCAGTTCTAGCCAAACGGCGCAGGAAACACCGAAGGAGCGGCGAACTTCTCTCCACCGCCCCAAAAAGGACAAGACGCCGATTACAGGGCCTGACAAAGGCCCTGTAAAATGAGCTAATCTCCATCTCCTCTGCACACAGCACTTTTTCCCTTTTTTTTTCCACTATGGACAAAATCATACAGTGGAATGTAAGGGGAATACTTGGAAATTTAGATGACGTCCAAGAACTTCTGAGTAAGTTTAATGCGAAAGTGCTATGTGTGCAAGAAACGCACTCAACTCCTAAGCACAAGGACTTCCTACGGCAATATCTTATTTTCCGTAAAGACCGGGAGGATGCTGTCGTACCATCTGGCGGTGTGGCCATTATAGCTGATCGAAGTATAACATGCCAGCATTTGAAGCTTCAAATGGCCCTTGAGGCAGTGGCCATTCGAGCTGTACTTTTTAATAAACTCATTACCATATGTTCTGTGTACATACCACCGCATCAAGAGCTACACAGACGTGATCTAGAATCAATAGATGAACTCTCAGAGCCATTTCCGTTTCTAGGTGATTTTAATGCACACAATGTCCTGTGGAGCGATGCTCACTGTGATGCGCGAGAACGTCTCATTGAGCAGCTCCTTTTCTCTTCTAGTTTGTCTTTTAAATATAAAAGAGCCTACGTATTTTAGCCTTGCAAATAACACGTACTCCTCCGTAGATCTTAGCATTTCATCACTGTCCCTTTTACCTGTTTTTAAGTGGAACGTTCTTAAAAACCCTTATGGGAGTGACCACTTCCCAATCATCCTGAGTGCGCCGAACAAAGATCAACTACCCCCGCAGGTTCCTCGATGGAAGATTGACTCAGCTGATTGGGAAGGGTATAGAACTCTTACACACATGACATGGACTTAGCTATCTGCCCTGACCATAGATGACGCTGTCACGTATTTTACAGCTTTTATACTTGATGCCGCATCTAAATGTACTGCCAAAACGAGCGGCATGTCTTCTAAACGGCGAGTCCCATGGTGGAACGAGGCATGCAGGAAAGCACGGACCACTCGGAACAAAGCATGGGCGTTGCTTCGCGATTCCCCTACAGTAGAAAACCTGAAAAATTTCAAGCGGGTCAAATAGCAGGCAAGAAGAACTCGTCGACAAGCTAGACGAGAGAGCTGGACAAAGTTTATATCGAGTATTAACTCATACCAGGTGAGAGAAAAGTGTGGAATAAGGTAAAGAAAATTAAGGGCCAACAAACGTATTCCCTTCCACTAGTAGATAGCCTCGGGGAAAGCTTGGAGGATCAAGCCAACTTTCTTGGCACACATTTCGAACATATATCGAGCTCCTCACACTACTCGAATCCTTCCAGAATTACAAGGCACGAATAGAAAAACGAAAGTTAGAAAGAAAATCCGCAAGAAATGAGGCGTATAATGCACCATTCTGCTTAGCAGAACTGCAAACAGCACTCAGCTGCTGTAATACATCTACCCCAGGTTCTGACAATGTAATGTACGCGATGCTGAAGGAACTACCCTCCGAAACTAAAGAAACCCTCCTCTCTCTTTATAATCGCATATGGTTTTCAGGTGTGACCCCTCCTCCTGGAAGGAGGCTGTTATAATTCCAATTTTGAAGCAGGGAAAGGATCCTTCTACTGTATCAAGTTATAGACCTATAGGGTTAACAAGCTGTCTCTGCAAACTATTTCAAAAAATGATTAATTGCCACTTACTCCACTACTTAGAAACAAACAAATTGCT